AAGCGCCGTTTAGCATCACGGAAAACAAATATCTGCAAGGTATTTTTTTTTATTTTTGTTTTTGTTTTTTAAGTGTTTTACGGCGCTCGCAACTGCATAAGGCCATAGGAGCGCGCGGGACACACCAAACATTTTCAATTGTTAGGAAATTTCGAATTTGCCTGGGTAGCGGCCGAAGCCTACTCTTGTCGATTTTGGACCACCAAGGGATCTTTAATTTGCGCAACTTGCTCACGGGACCTCCGAGATTTTTTACCCTTGTCCGAGAAGGCTAGGTGTAGATCTTTCCTACCAGAAGATCTGGGGTGTGGCTGAAAGACAACAGTAAGAAAGAGCCAAGGAGTAGCAGTAGAAAGACTGCAGAAAGAGTCAGGAGCCCAGTTGAGGGGGCAAAGGAGGTGATGGGGTGGGGGCAGAAAGTGGAGACGAAAATAGACGACAGAACATTGCATGAGAGCAGGAAAAAAGGTGAAAGGAAACGGTTTTAAGGAATAATTTTTTTTCGTCACTACCCGGATTCGAACCCGGGACCTTTGAAGGAGAGGCGTACGCCTTAACCTCTAGGCCACGAGAGCCCCCAATCTGCAAGGGCAGGCGGGGGCTAAACAATGGAGAAAAGCTTGGATCTTAAGTCAAATAGGGATGGACGGAGGAAGTTAAAAGAAAGTAGCGAAAAGTATGTCGTTAATTGAATCTATACGAACATCCATTTTGTCCCTTCAAGCTTCATATACTTATTTATTGTATTAAACAACAAATTTTAAACGTCCGTTCTCTAGCAGTTCCCCACTTCTCTTGACTGAAGACACTTCTTTTTCCGAAAAGATAATCATTGTGGTTGTTCCAAAGAGGTTATAAATAGTACTATTATAACCTCTTTGGGTTGTACCCATCTGTTTATTTTCCCAAAATACTGATGTACATGTATCAATGAAAAATGGACGAGAAAAGACAGCGAAACAAAAATGACAGCGAGGACAAACAATTTAAAAAAACAACTGAAGAAGGTTACAGGCAGTCAAGCACTCGGAGTGAGGAGAGAGAGAGAGAGAGAGAGA